GGCCACTGCACTCCAGTCTGGGCAACTGAGTGAGACTCCAACTCGGAAAAAAAAAAAAAAGAGAGAAAATATAGAAAAATTAAAATAGTTTTCACAACTGAATAATATAAGTTTCATATTTTTTCAACACTAAAGTGCAAAAAGATTTATTTAAAGATAATAAACCCAACACTGACAGATCAGAGCAGTTGAAAAGTCAGATGATGTTATAGAAAACGGATTCACTGCAGTAATACTTAAATGTTAAAAGTTTTGTTGAAACATTAAAACAATGGATTGCCAGGTGCGGTGGCTCATGCCTGGCATCCCACTACTTTGGGAGGCTGAGGGGAGAGGATTGGCTGAGTCCAGGCATTTGAGACCAGCCTGGGCAACTTGGCTAGACCTCATCTCTACAATAAATCAAAAAATAAGCTGGACATTGTGGCGCACACCTGTGGAAGGCTGAAGTGGAAGGATCGCCTGAGCCCAGTGGGTGAGGCTGCGGTGGCTGTGAGCGTGCCACTGCACTCCAGCCTGAGCAACAGAGTGAGACTCTAACTAAAACAAAAAACAATGGACTGCATTTCACTTCTGTAAGAAAAAACCTCTTGATTATAGAAAATTAGGCTGGGTGTGGTGGCCCACTCTTGTAATCCCAGCACTTTGGGAGGACAAGGCAGGAGGCCCGCCTCAGCCTAGAAGTTTGGCATGTGCCTGTAGTCCAGTACTTGGAAGGCTGAGGCGGAAGGACCGCCTGAGCCCTGCAGGTTCAGGCTGCAGTGGCCGTGGCTGTGCCACTGCACACCAGACTGGGCAACAGCATGAGACTCTGGCTCAAAAAAAAAAACAAAAAAAAAACACACACACAGAAAATTAAAAACAGACACCAGAAGCATACAAAGAAAATAAAAATCACCGAAAATTCTCTCACATATGGAAGTAAAATGCCAGAATAAATAGCTAAAAGAGTGAAAAGTAATTGTCTTGGGAGGTTGAGAATGGAGTGGAACGTGAATATTGAGAAGGATGGGGTAGAAAACTCATGTTTTTTATTATAAGCATTCTATTGTTCTTGGACAAAAATTAAAATTTACAAAGTTTTTTGGAAACAATGACTACCTAATTCCATCATATGGATAAACTTTCTATTGTTGACACTTGGGTTGTTTCTAATTATAAGTACTTCAATAAATACTTTTAAAATAAACATGCACAAATTCCTGATTATTTTCTTTTTTTTTTGTTTTTTGTTTTTGAGTTGGAGTCTCACTGGGTCGCCCAGACTGGAGTGCAGTGGCCGCTCCCGGCCACCGCAGCCTCAACCTGCTGGGCTCCAC